TTACGTTACATTACATTATACATTACATTACATTACATACATTACAATACATTACATCTCATACATTACATTAATTACACTACATACATTACATACATTACATTAATTACATACACAACATACCTTACATTAAATTACATACATAGTTCACATATCATCGGCTAGGTAGGTCTGGGATAGGTGTAGGACTCTTACGTTGCATGTTCACACTTTGATTTCTTATTTTTCTTTATTTATTTGATCAGACAGATTCACACCTGGAGTGATCACCAAGGATGCCAGTCCGATCGTTGGCCATTTTGGCGCGAAGTACGTGATCAGCTCCAGGCATCATCTCTCTCGAAAAAGGAGATCAACTGAGGGCCTGGGAGCTCGTTCACTGTAATAGCTCTAGATCATGAGTTTTCCCCCTGCTTACCCTGCTCCTTCATCGTTGCGGCGCCAGCAAGCCATGGCAGCAGCTCGTTCAGCTGAAGGAGTGCGCCCAGAAGACAGCGCATCGATGGTAGGCTCTATGGTGGGATCTCAGGGGTCTTGGAGTGTTTTGGTCAACGAACAGGCCAATGTGGCTCCACCAGCCAGTCAGGGGGTGCCTATGCAGTGCCCAACACCAAAGGCTCCTCCTCCTGGCTTTAGACCTGAGGACAAGCAAGCGGCTCCGGCGACTGAGACTGACCCTGATCTGACCCAGAATGTGCCGCCACAGGATCCCCAGTTCTGGGCCGGGGTGTTTGATCCACCCCCAACAGTGCCTGCAGCTCCGGCTACGCAAGCAGCCAAAGCTCTTTGGGACAATGCTCAGCAACAGGCTCAACGGTTGGCCAAGCAGAAATCGCAGGCCAAACGCCGTGGACAGAGAGGGATCCGCTGGGGGCAGATGCCAGGGCTGAATGCTCAGAACTTTCAGCTCCCGAATTTCATTCAGCAGCTCGGTGCTCGTGAGAATGAGCGGTCAGTTCTGGTGATTGACAGCCGCGACAAAAGGATCCAATCCCCATTTCAGGGGTGGCTTCTTGACGAGATCCTCCTCAACGCTCAGTCTGGGGTGAATGTCTTGTCAGATAGTCAGTTGGTTCGATCGCCGAGCACGGGCTATCACATGAACCTCTTCTACGTGAGGATCCTCGACGGCTTCAAGTTCATTTTGGTGGGAACCATGACGTCCTATGGCACGCTTCCTGCTGCCAGATGGGACGAAGCCACCAGCACGGTGCTCAACCACAAGGCCTTTCAACCGTTCAGATGGCCCATGATGTCAAATGAGTCATCCACGTGGGTAGATGTGAAGGTCAAAGTGGAAGGAGATTTGCTCTTGCACCTCGAGCTCCGTGGATACCGCTCGGACCAAGACATGTCGGTCCAGCTCAACTACATCAACGACGTGATGGTCGCAAACTTCAGGGACACGCTCTTTGTGCCGTCCTGTGTGGTCACGATCTTTCAAGGATGGCGAGTTGTGGCTACTTCATTCGAAGTGGGCGGCCGCTTGTATGCGTGCTCAGAAGGTGGCATGGTGGCAGCCCTCGATTTTCCACTATGTCACTTTGAGGTGCGCATGACAGCTCTGTCCTCTGCAGATTCGATCGGAATGGATGCCGACAGGCTTGAGTTCAGATTTCGATCGTCTGGGGACAAGCTGGATGTTGCTTGTTCACAGGCTGTGGTCCCGTCCACGTGGCTCGTCGTGTCACGGGTATCAGGACCTACGCTCATCAAGAATGCTCATTGGTGCCGTGATCATCATGCACGCATCGAGGGCCCAGACCAGACTCTTCAGCTCTCGCAACTGGCAGGTGTTCACGCCCACTGGACTGCAACGATCGAGGCAGGAGCTCTGGAAGAAACTGGCCCGAGGATCAGTGCAGTGGCGGTGGAATCGCATCCAGCCAATGTTCATTTGACGTGTGAGGCGCCGCTCTTCAGGGCTCCCAAAGCGATTGTGCCGGTGGAGGCTTTGGCTCTGCAATGTCATGATCAACAGCTGGAGCAAGACATGCTGGTGCTCCCTCCTGTGCATGGTGGTCCATCAGTGGTGCCTGCAGCTCAGGCGACTTGCGGCCAGCGTGCTCTTGCTGGACCTTCAAATCCAGCGTTGGTTGTGGCTCCACGTCGGACAGCTGCAGTGTCTGTCACAAAGCCCGGCCAGGCTCCTGGGGTGCAAGAAGTGGCTGGTGGCTCGATCTCGGTTCAAAGGCGCTCTTTGGAGGCTCGTGCAGCTGAGAACCTTTCTGAGGCTGCTGTGACCCCTCAGACCTTTCTTGATCGAGTTCAAGGCGCTCGTGACAGCCAAGATCCTCACTATGTTCCAAGCCATCCTGTCAGCTATGGTCCTGCTCCGGTGATCGAAGAAGTCACGGACTGCTGATTTTAGGATGGTTTTCTCATTTTGTTCAATCGAAATTCACGGGGAAGGTGCTGGAATGTTCCAGGTGGATGTTAAGCAAGACTGCTTTCCGATCGGCAGGAAAACCAGTGCTCATGTCAGCCGCTTGAAGTGGCACGGGAAGTGCAACTGAAAAGAGGGTTGCGCATGAGAGGGTTTCCTTTTAATTTTTGGTTTGTTCAACTTGTTTGCATTTCGGCAGGTGATGTTCTTTTATTTGCCATGTTCAATGTCAGCAAGTTGAGCGATCGTTTACTTGCGAGGGGTCCCATAATCCACATGTTCATGTGCTCATTCCGACCCGGCTCAGGCGATCACCTCAGCGGGAGGGGTGTTGTGGGATCCCAGATCGGACTTGACGTAGGATTGTGCTGACCGGCATAGGGCGATCGCCCACGAAGTTAGCCTTCCTTCTCTGTCTGATCTGTTGGAATAGTAACTTAGTGCTCACCGTGTTAATTACTTTAGCTTCAATTAATTGGCACGTTCATGTCTTGCATGTGCTCGTAGGCTCGTAGGACCTTTCATTGCGGCATGATCAGGTACGTTTTTGCTGGGCTTTCTCTTGGGTTTTGTTAGGCTTCTTAGGTGCCCCACCCATTCCATGTTTTGTTTGATCTAAGCCATCACGTCGCTCGGACAGTGTGACCATGGCTCAGTCTCAGGATAGGTGGGCGTCTAAGATCCTAGCTCTCCCCATTTTCTCAGATGAGTTTGCCCAGGCGATTTTGCGCTCGCCATACTCGAACCTGGCGCTGATCTCTGCAATGGAGGTGCACTCCGCTGGTGAGTTCGTGGTGAGAGTTCATGAGTGGTCTTCGTCGGTTCCTGAAGACTCGAGGGATGCACTGCTCACGAATGGGTTCATGCTGGAGCAATACTGGAGTTTGGCTAGTTCTATTGAGAAAGCTTTCTTTGAATCTACAGCCAACCAGCTCGGCTTTGGCATGTGTGATCCTGTTACAACAGCTCTGAGTGCAGAAACTGCCAGTGCTAGACAAGCTCGGGCGGTTAGAGCTCTGCTCGAGCGGCCTGCCCAACAGCCTAGGAAGATCCTCAAGAAGACGGAGTCGGATCCCTCAGTCACGCCGTTGCTCAACCAGGACACAGCTGCTCGCTGGAAGTGGGCGGCAAAGCTGGAAGAGATAGGCAGGAGGGCCGGCTCGTGCTCCAAGCTTTTGGTGGACACCGCCAACAGTGAGGGTCTTTCGACGGCTGAAACGGCTCGTCTTAGGCAGTTAGTTCTTTCATCAGGGGCACCTAGAACCATGGCAGCTCACATTTCAACCTGGGAAAGGTTCGAAGAGTGGTTGCTAGGTGAGGGTATCCCTGTTTTCCCCCTTAGTTCTGATAAGATTTTGAAATATGCTCTGTTTTTGGACCAGCGCGAATGTGGTCCGACAGTAGTTCCATCGCTCAGAACAGCCATTAGATGGGTCACCTCCAAACTAGCAATTGATTGCCCCGATTTGGCCCACGCGGCATTGCTCGCCGTCCAGGCAGAGATCGTCCAGAAAAGGGCGACCACCCTGAAAGAGGCCAACCCGATCCCGATCGAGGTGATAGGGTGCATGGAGCAGTTCGTGGTCGATGATGAAGAGGCCGATGCGGCTCGTCTTTTTGTTTGGTGGTGGCTCTGCATGGTCTTTGCCTCTTTGCGTTTTGACGACGCTGTTCATGTGAAGCCGCACGAGCTTATCCTCACGGATGAAGGCCTGTTCGGCGTGGCATGGCAGACAAAGGTCGAGAGGAAGAGGAAGGGAACTAAGTTCGTTGTTCCCCACGTCGGCTTCGCGGATTCTGGATGGCTGCTCGCCGGTTGGAGCATTTTCCAGTTGGAGTCTTTTGACAGAGACTACTGGATGCGGGATTTGAATACCCGCGACGCATTCAGAGATGCTCCGGCGGCCTATCACCGTTCAGTTCAATGGCTCCGCCATCTCGCCAAGTTCGCCTTGAAGAAGTACTTCCAGGGTGAGGAGCAGGCGATCAAGCTGGCAGAATCCAAGCTCCACGGGATTACGGCGCACTCTGCTCGTGTGACGCTTCTCGACGCAGCGGTGCATGCTGGTCGCTCGACAGAAGAGATCGGCCTGCAGGCAAACTGGAAGAATCCGGGCCCGCTCGTTTTGAAGTACACGCGGAATCGCACGAGTGTGCCAGCTCAGATGGTTCAGCAGCTCGTGAAGGACATGGTTGACCACTCCCACCCGTTCGAGGTGCCAGCTGATGCGGTGCTCGATGATGGCGCCGAGACCGCTCTTGATGAAGTCCAGTTCTTCGTCAAGACCTATGGCTCCAGGGCAAATCAAGATTTTCGTTTTCATTGCTCGCAGGTGGGCGATACCTCAGTGGTGGCCTGTGGACGCCTTACGATCGAGGAGTGCACGGAGACGGGCTCAGTCTTGCCGGATCCTTCACTGCTTTGCAAGCGCTGCGCCCAAGTTCGCCCTGATGTGGTGTCGAGGTGCTTCACTGCAGTGCGCACTCCAGGATCGTTTTGCGCCTTAGCTGAATTTTGTTCTGCAAGCCATGGCTTTCATTTCTGTATTGTTTTTATTTTGCGTGTTCTGCAAGTTTTTCTTTTCAAGAAGCAATTTCATTGATCATTTGAAAGATGGTCGATCGCACGGTCTATGCGGCTGATGCCGTGCCTGAGCTCCCGCTGCGGCAAATCTTGGGGCGTCAGAAGATCCCCGAAGACCTGTGCAAGCTCGTGGCCGATTCAGGCCTCAGGAGCGTCGAAACGTTCGCGATGCTGGGGGACACCATAGCTATGGTCAAGCAGACGATCAAGACTCTGATACCGGATCACACCCAGCTCGGAGCCGATCAACCTGCTCAAGAACTGGCTCTGACCTCACTGGCAGCGGTTTGGAAGACATGCTCTACTATGCAGGACCATTTTGCTGCTCGCAGAGCAAAGATGGAAGAAGATCCATCCAAGGTGCCGGAGATCCCTGGTGAAGACCATGCCGAGTTCAGGGAGACGTTCGTCTCCAGGCACCCTGACGTTGTTCTTCCAATCCATCGTAAGCCTCACCGCAAGTTCGTTGAGAGAGTCCAAAGAGATCATCTTGTCCATGGTTTTGTTCACTTCTACGAGGTGGGTGAGATCAGGACACGCAATGAGCAGATCGCTCAGAAGTCCGGGCTCTCCAAGAATGCGGAAGATCTGCTGCGCGTGGTGACGATCGACCAGCCCGTGACCGCCAGCTCCGAGAGCCAAGTCATGGATAAGCTTCATGCGTTCTTCATCACCTTGGAGTACCTCAACATTTGTGAGTTCTCCTTCAAGGCCGGCCCTCTCAAATATTTGGCCGAACTGGAAGAGTGGCGGCATGAGAACCGCGGCCTTGCTCTGCTCCTGGCAGCGGACTCGCTGATCAGGAAGAAAGTCCATCGGGTGAGCTCGGACCAGCGGAAGAGGTTCAGCACCTTCTCTGCAGCCCTCTTGGAAGTGCTCACCAACCACAAACAGTTGTGGAATGATGCTCGCTCGAGTGCGGAACTGGACAAGTTCAAGCAGGCGGCGACATCCGCCCCTACGACACCGCCCAAGAAGCGAGCTCGTTCGACCTCACCACCCTCTCCACCAAGCACAGCCAAGGCCAAGAAGAATCGCAATCGGCGTGCTCGACAAAAAAGTTCAACTTCAGCAGGCCAAAGCAGTTCTAGCAAAGCACTCTGATCGTGACAAGCCAGACAGCAAGAAGCCGTCTCGTGATGCTCGCGTGCCCCCGGCAGAGTGGCAGAAAATCACCTCGTTCAAGTATGGTGGCCCCAAACGTTGCCCTTTTTTCAACTGCTCGCTGGGGTGCCGCTTTGGAGATCAGTGTAAGCAGAAACACAGCTGTGTCGAGTGTGGAAAAGACCACCCTTGGCACGGTAACCACTGAACAACCCCCCGTGCGGGGGCTGCGGCTCCTCGCCCAGTTCTGGGCCTAGCGAAAGGCAGCAATGACGGCTCTCTCAGCTCTGCTGAGTGCAGCTCGAGCCCTTCGTCAGTCGAAGGTTCCTTTGCTGGGTCTTGGGCCACAATTTTGTCACATTTGCCCTCCTTGCGGAAACAAGGGCGTTTCTTTTTGGAGCTCTTTTCGGGCACTGCAGGGATCACGGAAGCTGTTCAGCTCACTGGAGTCCCCGTGCTGCCGCCCATTGACATTGTGCTCTCCGAAATGGTCAGAGAAGCTTCAGATGTGGTCGATGCTCAAGTGTGGCAGCGTGTGCTGCGGGTTCTGCGCGAAGGGGTGGTGTTCTACCTGCACTGCGGCACGCCTTGCAACACTTTTTCTTCTGCTCGCAAAGATGACGGAGGTCCACCACCTCTGCGCTCATTGGAGTACCCCATGGGATTGCCGGATCTGAGTCTTGACAATTGGTGCTTGGTTCAGCTTGGCAACCTGTTTTTAGGTCATACTTGTGAGGCTTGTGTCATTGTTTTCGATCATGGTGGGGATTTTTCTATCGAAAATCCTCTTTTGAGCCTGATGTGGGTCACTTATTTGATGGATAATTGGATTTTCCATGCTCGGGCTCTGGCCATTGACCTCGAACAATGCGCTTTTGGGGCTCCCTCTCGCAAGCCCACTCGACTGGAGTGCTCCAACGAACTTTTCGATCCTTTGGCAATCACTTGCCCTGGCGGTCATGGCCACATCAAGCTCAAGGGCAAGGTCATCGACCCAGAAACGGGCAAGCGCGTGTTCAAGACCAAAGCAACGCAGGTCTACCCTTGGGCGTTGTGTGCGGCGTTCGCCTCGGTGGTGCATGCTCTCTGGCAGGATCCGTTTCAACATCTTCAGGCGTCCTTTCAGTTGGTTACGCCTGCTTCCGACCGGAAGCGGCAACTGGGATCCTGCAAGCCGTGGCTGGGCCATCGACAAATGAGCTCCGCCCAACGTGCGCAGTGGGCCGGTTATCAGCTCAAGCGTGGTGCAGCAAAACCGCTCTTGCACATCGAAATGGAACCTGGTCAAGCCATTGAGGCTGCTCTCCATGTGATCCATCCTTTCACTTTGGCGGCTCCTTTGTCAGCCCCTGAAGAGAAAGCCTTAGGTGAGCTCAGGCGACCGGCGCATGAAGTCGTTCAACATCGAGGGCATTTGCTCCGCCGTTGGTCACAGATCGCAGTCGAATTGCTGCCACAATCTGTGCAAGCCATTCGCCAGTTGCCAGATGCTCCCTTGAGGCGGCTCCTTCTTGGCGGGGCGGATCACGAACCACCAGTTCTTGGTCAGGTTTGCCATGTCGCCTTGTATGCAGCCATGCTCGATGCGTGCCAATCAGTGGACCGCGCTTTGCCTCAGCTGCTCTTGGAAGGTTTTCCCATTGTGGGCGAGATCGCTCGCACAGGCCGTTGGCCAGCCTATGATAAGCCTCAGAAGGATATCCCCGTTCGGGAAGCGCTTGGTAGGGCCTGGGCAATCAGACGCAAGATCATTCAGCGGGTCGCTCATGTCCCTGTCACAGAGAACCTTCAAAAAATTTGGGAGGCCTCACTCGAGGATGTGCATGAGTGCTCGTGCTTAGGTCCTTTTTCGCATGAAGCTCAAGTTTCTGACATCCTTGGATGTGAAGATTGGATCCCAACCCAGAGATTTGAAGTCGTTCAAAAGAACAAGGTCAGGGGTTGCGATAGTGCCACTACAAACATGATCAACCAGGTCACAAAGATCACTGAGAAGCTTCAGCTCCCCTCGACGGACACCAATGTGGCGGCCCTGAGGATGTTGAAGTCGATCAAGCCAGATGAAGAATTGGCAGGCTGGGTGCTCGACGAGCGGAAGGCTTACCGACAGGTGGCTATTTGTCCTGATCACCGCAAGTTCTCAGTCATCTGCCTCAAGAACCCCAAGTCTGGTGCTCCAAATTTCTTTATTATGGTCGGCCACTCCTTTGGGCTCGTCTCGGCAGTCTATAACTACAATCGCCGTTCGGCTGCTATCAACGAGTTCCTGGTGTCGTTGTTTGGATTGGTTGCCTTCAGCTTCTATGATGACAAGTACGGGTTCGAGCCGAAGTCCACGGTGGAGAGCGCTCGCCTCGTGGCCGAGAGCGTCCATTTTTGGCTTGGTGCTCGTTTTGATCAGAAGAAGCTGCAACTGTCCGAGGCGCCTACGATTTTGGGAGTCACCTACAACCTATCGGCCATGCAGCTGGAGATCAAAGCCGATCGCAAAGAGGAGATCGCCAATGAGATTGACGCCATCCTTACTTCAGGGCTTCTGGATCCAGGCTCTGCCGGCAAGCTCAAAGGGAAGCTGATGTTTGGCTCTTCTCAACTTTGGGGAAAAGTCGGTCGTGCTTTTCTGAGAGTTATTTCTGAGAGGCAGTATCTGCGTTTTCCTGTAGGTCATGAGTTTAAACTAGACCCTGCTCTGAAGAAAGCTCTGAATCATTGGCGTAGGCTCGTTTTGCATGGACCACCTAGGCCAATTGAAACTGTTTCAGAGAAGCTCGTGGATGCCGTTGTTTTCACTGACGGTTTCACACCAGATCCGAGATCGAATCAGCGCGAGCCTGATCGCATTGGCGCTGTTCTTTTTGATCGTAGGATAGGTAGGCCTAGACAGTTCACAGCAGTCATTCCTGAACGAGTCAAGAAACGCTGGCTCCAGCGTGAGACTCAAATTGTTCCAGTTGAAATGATTGCTGCAGTCTTGGCTCTAGAGACTTTTGCCGATCGACTGCGAGGAGCTGACATTTTGTTGCTCATTGACTCTGAAGCAGTCGAAGGCTCCCTTATCAAGGGATACTCTAGTCGCGAAGATCTTTGTGAACTCATTTCGGTCTTTTGGGACCTTGCTTTTCAGTTGAGGGTTCGAGTGTTTATCGATCGAATTTCAACTGATGCCAATCCTGCTGATTGGCCGTCAAGAGACAAGATGTTCATTGGCGAAAGCATTGGATGGGAGACGGTTAATGTCTTGTGGCCGCCGTCGCTCTTTCAGTGAGTGGAGGGCCTGGGTCTGTGACTGAGCTCTATTTTGTGGTTCATTAACTTTCTTGCTTTAACCTGGTCTGCGAAAGACTCTGCGTATAAGCTGTGAAGTTCGATGAATTGCTGAGCTCTATCCACCCATGATCTCTCAGTTTTTGCTTTTCAGCATTCAATAGATCCAGACTTAACTGCTCTCCCCATGCCCTGAGCAGTGATTAAAAAGGAAGCAGGCGCGTCCGTCAGTGCTCGGGGGTTCCAATTTGATTCTTTGTTTATTGATCTTGGAAATTCGAAAGTGTGAAAGTGATGTTCATCACGTCATTGCGCGATTGAGTCGTTCACATATCATCGGCTAGGTAGGTCTGGGATAGGTGTAGGACTCTTACGTTGCATGTTCACACTTTGATTTCTTATTTTTTCTTTATTTAATTGATCAGACAGATTCACACCTGGAGTGATCACCAAGGATGCCAGTCCGATCGTTGGCCATTTTGGCGCGAAGTACGTGATCAGCTCCAGGCATCATCTCTCTCGAAAAGCCCATCCCGCCCACCCTGGGTTACTTCGCGTGGCTCAGGGTGTGGTTTGGCCTCCTCGGCTTTTGGATTAGATGTTTTGGTCAGTAATCTGACGCATTTCCTGACCTATTTTGCCTGTGCGTCAGTCTGATGGGGTCTGTGACTGAGCTCTATTTTGTGGTTCATTAACTTTCTTGCTTTAACCTGTTCTGCGAAAGACTCTGCGTATAAGCTGTGAAGTTCGATGAATTGCTGAGCTCTATCCACCCATGATCTCTCAGTTTTTGCTTTTCAGCATTCAATAGATCCAGACTTAACTGCTCTCCCCATGCCCTGAGCAGTGATTAAAAAGGAAGCAGGCGCGTCCGTCAGTGCTCGGGGGTTCCAATTTGATTCTTTGTTTATTGATCTTGGAAATTCGAAAGTGTGAAAGTGATGTTCATCACGTCATTGCGCGATTGAGTCCATTACATACGTACATTACACTACACTACACTACACTACACTACACTACACTACACTACACTACACTACACTACACTACACTACACTACACTACATACATCACTCACATTACTTACATTACATTCATGACATACATCACATACATGACATACATTACATACAGTACATACATTAGATACATTAGATACATTAGATACAATACATACATTACATACAGTACAATAATTACACACAGTACATTAGCTACATATGTTGCATAGATTGCATACATTAGATAATTAGATACGTTAGATACATTACATAACATACATTACATACCTTACATTGCATTACATTACAATACATTACATGCCATAGCAAAACATTACGTAACACTACATGCATGTCATTAATTACATTACATTACATTAGATTAGATTACATTACATTACACAACATTACATTACATACATACTTACATCAATACATATCCACATGTAACAATACGAACAATAAGTGTACGTACTTGTCATTTTCATGTTATAGATAGTGTTTGTCCAGGGTCGGTGAAGCGCTCGAGAGTTCGCTGCAGGCCTGCTTCGACATAGTCATGGGCTTGATCAGCAGAAATGTGGAGCTGCAGGAGGAGATGAAGGATTTAAACCGGACAGATGACAAGTGGAGAGGAATTACACGGATCACGTCTCGCGAAACGCATAAGTTCCTGAGAGCGCTGGAGTCCTTCCCAGATGATGTTCGCAGCGAAAAAGTAAGACCACAGGAGATCAAGTCTGCGAAAACAAAACTTCAAGAGTTGGGTAGCTTGGGACTATTTTTCTCAGGGACTTTGCTGATTTCTTTCCGTGCTGTAAGTTCAAACGCTTGGTTGAAAACACTGAAACTCTCAGCGTTATAGCGTTCAATCCTGCCCTCGTCCACCTCAACCCCCTGGAACCCCCTGGACCCTCCTGGACCATGGGTTGTGCGCAAGTATAGAGACGTCATCTTCAATAATCATTTCATTTCATTTCGTTTCATTTCATTTTCATTTTCATTTTCATTTTCATTTTCATTTTCATTTTCATTTTCATTTCATCCCATTTCATTTCATTTCTATTTCCAGTTCATTTCAATTCGCTTCGTTTCGTTTCATTTGATTTCATTTCATCATCATTATTATTATCATCATCATCATCATCCCCAACCTCATCCTCATCCTCATCCTCATCCTCATCCTATCCTCCTCCTCATCATCATCATCAGCATAGTTGTATATAATTGTCATTATCATTCGTGCCCACCATGGCTGCCCACCATCATCGTCATCAGTTTACATTTGCAGCTGAGGAGTTTCCAGTACAACATTTTGTACCTCCTCCCCTGGCTTCAGGTTTTATCTATTAACTATACATATGTATATATGTGTAGGTTCTAGGTGGTTCTAGTATGTATGTTCACAGTATGTTCTAGTGATATTCAGTGAACAAACATTAGCGCATCCACAGCGGAGAATAAAGTCCGAGGCAATGGACTACTTCCAGCAAGGATGCAGCGGGTCAGCTACGTGGCACCTTGTCCCAGCACTTCCGGTGGTAGGATTGGTAGGGATGTGGAGAGCTTGCCTCAATTCGGTTCAATTTGCCTCATGTAAATTTCACATAAAGTCTTCAGGATCTAGTCATATCTAATTAGTCATCATCATGGTCGTAACCGAAGCATGAATTATTAACGTACTGTTTGGGACCGGAAAGTTGCCGAATCAAACGTGAAGAAAATCAGGCTAGCTACCATGCAAACTACTGCCTGCAATGTAAACAAGAAGGCTATATATAGATAGATACTTCCCGCGACCTTTGGATCTCACTCGTTGATACAGTATTTCTTGGTGGATTTCCAGATTTCCATGTCTTTCATTCCGTTCGCCAACTCACCGTGTTCCTTGTATCAAGGGATCGGTCCTCAATGACTGGGCCAAGCTTGCCTTGCAATTCTGCCACTGCGATCGGGGGTTTTCTGGTGTGCTGGAGCTCGAGGATTGTGTTGATTTAGCAGGCTGCGCAGGCCCAACAACTCGGGGCCTGGAGAAGTGGATCCAAAGCCGATTCAGAAACTATCGGCGATTCATTCAGAAACTACGATTCAGAAACTATACCACCGATTCAGAAACTTCAGAAACTAACGCGATTCAGAAACTACGATTCAGAAACTATCGCGATTCAGAGACTATCGCGATTCCGAAACTATCGCGATTCCAAAACTATATCGCGATTCAGCAACTATCACGGTTCAGCAAATACGATTCAGAAACTTCGAGATTCAGAAACTACGATTCAGAAACTATATAGCGATTCAGAAACTACGATTCAGAAACCATCGCGATTCAGAAACTATTGCGATTCAGAAACTAACGCTATTCAGAAACTATCGCGATTCAGAAATTATCGTGGTTCAGAAACTGACTATGATTCAGAAACTATCAAGATTCAGAAATTATCGCGATTCAGAAAAACTATCGCGATTCAGAAACTATCACGATTCAGAAACTTACGATTCAGCAACTACGATTCAGATACTATACCATTCAGAAACTATCGCGATTCAGAAACTATCCCGATTCGGAAACTATCGCGATTCATTCAGAAACTACGATTCAGAAACTATCGCGATTCAGAAACTTCAGAAACTAACGCGATTTAGAAACTACGATTCAGAAACTATTTCCACCGATTCAGAAACTTCAGAAACTAACGCGATTCAGAAACTACGATTCAGAGACTATCGCGATTCAGTCGCTATTCAGAAACTATCGCGATTCAGAAACTACGGAGACTGATTGTTTGAAGTTAGAGAAGTTTAGGAACTTAGAAGAGATGTAATGTATGTATAAAGTGATTACAACCATGGTGTAAACTACTTGTAAGTATCCCAAGTTTCTTAAGTATGGCTAACTAAGATATAACTTCATGTAGCAGCATAGGTGAAGTTGTAAGTATTTGTTTGAAATGTTTCTATTTATCGAAGTTAGCGTGTCTTTCTTATCTTCATGTTAATTTTTGATATCTAGTTAGGTAAGTTAACATAACTAGTTACGGAAAGTTAACATAAGTTATGGAAAGTTAGCAAAGAGTTATAAAAAGTTATGAATGGAGTGTGACAGGTGGTCTTCAAAGGACAGAGTCAGAAATGACAAGTCTTGAAAAAGACATGGTCAGAAATGACAATTTCCGAAATTGGAAGACAGGACGCAGTGTTGCAATTTGTTTTTTTGGGGTGACATAGCTGTCGTGTTCAAGCAAGCGCTAAAAGAAAGAAGTCGGCTTTGTGAATCATGGCTTCGTTTATGGTTCAATGATAATTTAAATCTAGTTATTTCATCGCTGTGTTTTGGAAATTGAGTATACTTGAACCAGAATTAAGTTAAAGCTGAGAAATAATTCATTCAGCGAAACCCCAGCAATATGTCAATCATAGTGCAAGAATAGCTCAGCCATAGTTCAGCCTAAACTAGCTATACTTCCGCCATAGTTCCGCTATAGTTCAGATTTCCATTTAAATTCATAGTTCAGCCATAGTTCAGCCTTAACTAGCTATAGTTCAGCCTAAACTAGCTATACTTCAGCCATAGTTCAGTTTTCCTTTTAAATTCAAACTGCTATAGTTCAACCATAGTTCAGCCTAAACTAGATATAGTTCAGCCATAGTTCAGCCTAAACTAGCTATAGTTCAGCCTAAACTAGCTATAGTTCAGCCATAGGTCAGTTTCCCTTCTAAATTCAAATGGCTATAGTTCAGCCATAGTTCAGCCTAAACTAGCTATAGTTCAGCCATAGTTCATTTTCCTTTTAAATTCAAATTGCTATAGTTCAGCCATAGTTCATTTTTCCCTTTAAATTCAAATTGCTATTGTTCAGCCATAGTTCAGCCTAAACTAGCTATAGTTCAGCCATAGTTCAGCCTTGCTTCTAAATTCAAATGGCTATAGTTCAGCCATAGTTCAGCCTAAACTAGCTATAGTTCAGCCATAGTTCAGTTTTCCTTTTAGATTCAAATGGCTATAGATCAGCCATAGTTCAGCCTAAACTAGCTATAGTTCAGCCTAAACTAGCTATAGTTCAGCCATAGTTCATTTTTCCTTTTAAATTCAAATTGCTATAGTTCAGCCATAGTTCAGCCTCAACTAGCTATAGTTCAGCCTAATCTAGCTATAGTTCAGCCATAGTTCAGCCTAAACCAGCTATACTTCAGCCATAGTTCAGCTTTCCTTCTACTAAATTCAAATGGGTATAGTTCAGCCATAGTTCAGCCTAATCTAGCTATAGTTCAGCCTAAACTAGCTATAGTTCAGCCATAGTTCATTTTTCCTTTTAAATTCAAATTGCTATAGTTCAGCCATAGTTCAGCCATAGTTCAGCCTCAACTAGCTATAGTTCAGCCTAAACTAGCAATAGTTCATCCATAGTTCAGCCTCAACTAGCTATAGTTCAGCCTAAACCAGCTATACTTCAGCCATAGTTCAGCTTTCTTTCTACTAAATTCAAATGGGTATAGTTCAGCCATAGTTCAGCCTAAACTAGCTATAGTTCAGTCCATGTATAAAACGAATATGGCCAGGTATGCCATTCCTTAAACGAGAACATCAGAAAAGAATTCGCATCATATGTGATTGTTCAAGCTGATGTTTACAAGCCAGCACATTGGCTATCACAAGACCCGGTATTGCTCACGATCTGGTAAGGCTCTTGGTGATGCCTTTTATGGTGACAAAATGGAACCGAAAAAGAGATTTAAAAAAAAGCTTGCCTGCGCCAATTGTCTGAAAAGAAAACTATCAGAAATGATGGTTCCTGCAAAGGAGCATGAAATTCTGAAAAGAATTTGGCCGAGGTTGTTGCAACGAAAGTTCCTGAAAAGGATACGGTCTGAAAAGACAGATCCTGTAAAGGATTCATCTTTAAAACGTAGCTATGAAGTATCTTGATGCTTCCGTATGATCGCATTAAATCAATCAACATATGTCCCTTAAAGAAACAACATGAAATTTCTCAAAAAGTTATGGAAAGTCCCTGGAAAGTTATCAAAAGTTATGAAAACTTATCGAAAGTTAGCAACTAAGTTACCAAAGTTAACATAACTTCTTGTAAGGTGTCCAGCTAAATCATGTTAACTTCTAACCTAAATTGCGTAACTTCTATATATCTTGTCTAACTCCATAAAGTCTCCTAACTTCAGACGATCAGTCTCCGTATCGTGATTCAGAAACTATGATTCAGAAACTATCAAGATTCAGAAATTATCGCGATTCAGAAACTATCGCGATTCAGAAACTATCACGATTCAGAAACTACGATTCAGCAACTACGATTCAGAAACTATCGCGATTGAGAAACTATCGCAATTCAGAAACTACCACCCCCATGGAACTTCACATTGACTTGGGCTGTCCACAAGGATCAGATGATATCCAAATTCCCACCCCCATCCCAGAGCATCCTCACTTGAAAAAAATCAATCGCACTTGATTTTTTCAATCGCCACTTGAAAATGCCCAAATTTCAATAGAATTTTGTTTTTTTCAATCGCAAAATTCAAGTGAAATTTCAATAGAAAAAAAGGAAAATTCAATAGAAATTTCAAGTGAAAATTCAATAGAAAAGTTTGGTTTTTGATCTAAATTTATCATTTTTCATGCAGCTTCACTTAAACATATATTCATGCCAAGTTGCATATCATGTACTTGTGCTTTTTGTTTTCTTGGGGGGGCTGTCCAGCCCATGCTGGGGCTGTCCAGCCCATGAGCTGTCCCATTGCAGTAGGAGAAGGGGTTCAGAGAAACCACGCAAGCCTCTAAGCCTCTAAGCGCCTAAGCCTCTAAACGCAAAGAGACTGGGCAAAAGCGCATAAGCCTCCAAGCGCCTAAGCCTCTAAGCGCAAAGAGACTGGGCAAAAGCGCATAAGCCTCTAAGCCTCTAAGCGCCTAAGCCTCTAAACGCAAAGAGACTGGGTAAAAGCGCATAAGCCTCTAAGCCTCTAAGCGCCTAAGCCTCTAAGCGCAAAGAGACTGGGCAAGAGCGCACAAGCCTCTAAGCGCCCAAGCCTCTAAGCGCAAAGAGACTGGGCAAAAGCGCATAAGCCTCTAAGCCTCTAAGCGCCTAAGCCTCTAAACGCCAAGAGACTGGGCAAAAGCGCATAAGCCTCTAAGCCTCTAAGCGCCTAAGCCTCTAAGCGCAGAGAGACTGGGCAAGAGCGCACAAGCCTCTAAGCCTCTAACCGCCTAAGCCTCTAAGCGCAGAGAGACTGGGCAAAAGCGCATAAGCCTCTAAGCCTCTAAGCGCCTAAGCCTCTAAACGCAAAGAGACTGGGTAAAAGCGCATAAGCCTCTAGGCCTCTAAGCGCCTAAGCCTCTAAACGCAAAGAGACTGGGCAAAAGCGCATAAGCCTCTAAGCCTCTAAGCGCCTAAGCCTCTAAGCGCAAAGAGACTGGGCAAGAGCGCATAAGCCTCTAAGCCTCTAAGCGCCCAAGCCTCTAAGCGCAGAGAGACTGGGCAAAAGCGCATAAGCCTCTAAGCCTCTAAGCGCCTAAGCCTCTAAGCGAAAGAGACTGGGCAAAAGCGCATAAGCCTCTAAGCCTCTAAGCGCCTAAGCCTCTAAGCGCAGAGAGACTGGGCAAAAGCGCATAAGCCTCTAAGCCTCTAAGCGCCTAAGCCTCTAAGCGAAAGAGACTGGGCAAAAGCGCATAAGCCTCTAAGCCTCTAAGCGCCTAAGCGCCTAAGACCAGCGCATAAGCACCTAAGCGCCTAAGCGCCTAAGACCAGCGCAGCGCTAAGCGCCTAAGCGCCTAAGCGCCTAAGACCAGCGCATAAGCGCCTAAGCGCCTAAGCGCCTAAGACCAGCGTATAAGCCGCATAAGCGCCTAAGCGCCTAAGACCAGCGTATAAGCCGCATAAGCGCCTAAGCGCTCAGCGCCCCAGACCAGTCCATAAGCGCATAAGCGCCTACGCGCCTAAGACCAAACCAGGGCTTGAACGAAAGAGATGCCTGAAACGAAAGAAGAGCATACAGAGACGAACGAAGGACTTCGAACGAAAGTCTGGAGGAGTCCAACGAAAGAGCGAGGATTTCAAACGAACGAGAGGAGTCGAACGAACAAGACAGGACTTGAACGAAAGAGAGCTCTCAAACGAAAAAAGAGCAGAGAGAAACGAAAGAAGTACTTCCAACGAAAGCCAGCAGGAGTCCAACGAAAGGGAGAGGTTGCAAACCAATGAGAGGAGTCGAACGAACAAGACAGGACTTGAACGAAAGAGAGGTCTCAAACGAAAAACGAGCAGAGAGAAACGAAAGAATT